ACAATACCACCGCTGTCGGTTCACTGTCATATCCATCAATGTCTCCAACCAACCGGTTGTGGAGTCTTTCGGACCCCAACCTGGAAGGCGAGAGACACCTACCATACCTAATGGCGCTGTGCATTTCTTCATGCCTCGACTTCATGACATCTGTCGACCTCCACGTGGCTGTGAACCAAACAGGTTCAGTGCCATCTTTTCTCTGGAACTGAAGTGCGCCGGTGTACCCAAAACCGCATGGTACATGCAACAGTGATCAGTTTTGCTTTGTGGTTTTACTCCATGATTTTTTAATGGAAAATGGTAGCTGACTTAATAGCAATGATCCCTGAAGTTTATTAAACTAACGTAAGTCAGGCGATACTTATTTTGCTATGGTTAGCTCCTTGGGGAAAATAAGCCAGCTAAACGGTGTTCATTGTTAACTGGGAGTTTGGTACGAGAGACATGCCTAGCTTCAGCCTTTGGTTTCGAGGGCACAACTCTAGCCCTAACAGCTAAATTGTGAACTGTAAAGCAAAAGTGCGTTGGTACTTGGTTGCTGGTCTCTCCGTAGGAGCTCATTCACCATTCAGTTTATGTAGCTGCCACCCAGGGGTCCATTTATTCCTGTTTTCTCTTGTCATTCACCGTCTCGCCAAGGCTTTTCTCTCCCAATCTGGTTTACCCTGCCCATCTAGCGGTTTGCCGGGATGTGGCCACTGATGCATGCATGAGCTTCATGAAACCACTTGTGAGAGTTGGGTACATAATGGAAACTAAAGAAGAGAAGAACGCTTCCAAAGGGGACAAGACAGGCCATATACTCAGAGGTGCTACTTCTATCAGATACTTTATATATTGCTGCCAACAAACAGACGCCTACGTTACCTTGCTTGAGAGTATTCGTGGAAATTCGGTCGTTACAACTAACAAGCCTATGCCAAAATGCAGAATGAAGAATTTCATGATAATGAAAATAAAAGAAGACTGCTGCGAGTCAATAAGGGGATGTTTTGAGGATGAACTGATGACACCCACTTATTCTTACATAAAGCATGTTGCCCCGAACTGAAAGTATGTGATATAGGATCAATGGCTAAAATACTTGATATCGCGCAATTGTGGGTGGCAATTCGGAATGTCAAACCTAAGAAAGAGTTTGCCGAATTTATCAGAACCGGTCGAAGCATGATTCCCAAACGAAGGTTAGCGCTTTTCATGTGGAATTAAGGCTGAAATAACCTAGTTTTTCAAGGCAAACGTTCACCACTCCCATTCCCCTTTTACTGGAAACCAGACCTCAGCTCCACTCCGATATGGCAATGGAGTAAGTTGGTGGTGGCGCAGTGGATTAGTCGTCATCATCATCGTACAACGAAATACGGTTTGGCGAACTTCACCGATTGCTGCCAAACTCGTAATGCATACAAGGTTAGTGTTAATATTCAAGGTCGACAGGGATTGGAGAAGAAGGTGAACCTCTACGGTCAACACACAAAGTACACAATCGAACTCTGCATACGTACGGTTTCAAGCATTCTGACCTGATAAGAAACGACAACAATACCACCGCTGTCGGTTCACTGTCATATCCTTCAATGTCTCCAACCAACCGGTTGTGGAGTCTTTCGGACCCCGACCTGGAAGGCGAGAGACACCTACCCTACCTAATGGCTCTGTGCATTTCTTCATGCCTCATCTTCACATCATTGGTGACCTCCACGTGCTTTTATCCAGCCCGCAGCGGCTACAGCGAATAAAGCGCAGCGCGTCAGATGACAGCTGGGCATACGTAATACGTGTCCTAACCAGTAAAATCTTCTAATTTGGATTCGGTGTGCCAACAAGTTTTTTCCCGACAGATTCCCAAGCACCTGCTTACCTGCAGATAACTAACCCATT